CTCTTTTATTCATCTAGTTTTTTAAAAAAACTTAAGTCATTATAAAATCTTCACCTCTCAGAGCATTAAAAAAACAAACTAGACCACTCTCACAGTGTATATTTTGATGCCTTGGGCTGCCACCAGCTTTTCATTTTTCAGATTCCCATTTGGGAATCTCACATATTATCTTCTACTCGAACATACTCCAATTTCATTTTCTATTCACCTTAAACTAAATCACCTTTATGACCTCTGCAGCTTTCCTCCCAACCACTACTCACTCTATTTCTATTCTGTTATCAGAAATAACCCCTCCTTGGTTTCTCATCTTCTCCATCTAGTTTTATGTCAATTCAGAATCCACCAGTGCCTAATTCTCTCTTCCTTAATAGCAGGACTTGCTGAACACTAGTAATATTGTTACTTCTCTAATAATCAAAGAGCTGATTTGGTAAGCTGTTATATTTCCTTCTTTATTTTTGTCTTGTACAGCTAGGTGGCATCTGATTTATTGAAGAAATTTTGTATTCAGAAATGGCCAGAGTTTGCTGGCCGTATTTCGATCCTGAGTACGAGAATTTCAACACCAGAATGAATCCTCCAAGGTTGATTGGTCATAAACATTCAAATGCAATTTTCAGGAGTTGTCTTGCTTTTAGATTAGTTACCTTTCTCACTCTTCCTTGTTTGTAGGGTTTCAGTGGATAACTCGAGCTGCAAAGACTGCACTCTTGTCAAGGTAAACTTATATTCAATGAAAAGTAAGACTTCTGGTTCTTCAAGCTGAGTTAACACCAGTCACTGGATTTTCTTTCTAGATGAATGTGAATTTATTCACCCAACAATAGCTGGTTCGGATTACTGCTAAAAAAACACTAAAAAAAAAAACAAGAAAAAGGAAGAATTATAGAAGTTAACAATATAGGGGCTAAAAACAGAACATGCTTGTTTGCGTTATTTATTCCTATGACATGCTTAGATGAACTTTTCCTTCACTAAAATTTTAAGGCGGTAGCATTTATAGAAGCTGATGGATATAGGTTGACAGCCTGAACAAACCAGGAATATTGCTTGAAGTTGTGCAAGTCCTAACAGACCTTGATCTCATTATCACCAAAGCTTACATCTCCTCTGATGGCGGATGGTTCATGGATGGTATGTATTTTATTCTCAGAACAAGCTTTTCAAAAATGGTGATTAGTTTCTATTACTCCTTCCATATTTTGCTACCTGTAATGAGTCTGATGTGCAATTGACCATAACTGAAAAAAGATAACTTCTTATCCCTTTAACCCGCTCTCGTGGAAGAGAATAAAGTGACAAGTTTACTTTCTCTTTGATCAAACAGTATTCCATGTCACCGATCAGCAAGGAAACAAGGTTACTGATGTCAAAACCATTGCATACATTGAGGAGGTATGTTGTTTTTTTATTGCCTTTACCATAAGCTTTTGTCTCCAATAGCTTCACACGTAAACAGGACACCGACCAGACTATAAGACTTGTAACTGCTATCAGTATCACCATAACAGATATTTCATGTAACCAGGTGACATAAAAATTAGGCACTGAAGGCAGGGAGGCATACAGCACCAACCTGACCTCGTTGCATGAAGAAGAGAAAGTCCTGGGCTTCATATTATGAATTCTCCAATACATCCATCAAAACTCAGTTTCTAATATTTTCTCTTAGTGTTCTTTCTCATTTAACTCATTCACAAAGACCTCTTTTCTTCTCATGCATCTCCTAACAAGCACTCTCTGCCACACCTCTATGTTATCCCCTTCCCATTTGAACTGAACATTCCTCGTGTCAACAAATGATGCCTTCGCCTATCTGAATCACGGAAACCAAGATTGCAAACATGTCAATTTTGATACAGAAAGAGTGATGCTTAGATGCGTCAATTATGTTACTCAAACTCAATGTTGTACTGGAATCATGTCTGAATATTTAGTAATGTGAGGAAAGCTCCGGTCCAACCCTGTCTGTCCCAATCACTGATGCATAGTACGGAGGAAAACACTCCCCTGTATAGTGTTACATGCCTAACTAGCATAAGCATCTATGAAATACTTAAAGATCATGGCCATTCAATTTAGACTTCCTCTAAGGGCCCTATTAAAAGGCAGATTGGTAGCTCCGTGCTCTTATTAATTTCTGCAATTTAGATACTGAATGCAACTTGTTTCATTTTTTCAAAAGGCTCTAGGACCAAAGGGCCACACCAGAGATGGACTGAGTACATGGCCAGGAAAACGGGTGGGTGTGCACTCTGTTGGGGATCACACAGCCATTGAACTCATTGGCAAGGACCGTCCTGGCCTCTTATCTGAAATCTCTGCTGTTCTTGCCAACCTCCACTTTAATGTGGTTGCTGCAGAAGTCTGGACGCACAATCAGCGAATAGCATGTGTATTGTATGTCAATGATGATGCCACATGCCGTGCTGTGGATGACCCAACCAGATTATCTCTCATGAAGGAACAGCTAAAGCACATCTTGCGTGGGTGCGAGGATGATGAGAGAGTGGCTCGCACCAGTTTCTCCATGGGGTTCACGCATGTTGATCGTCGACTTCACCAGATGTTATTTGCTGATAGAGACTACGAAGGTAGTGGAAGTGGAGTAACACCAGAGGTTGATTATCCTCTCTCCTTAAAACCAAAGATTACTATTGAACGCTGTGAGGAAAAGGGATACTCAGTAGTTAGTGTCCATTGCAAGGATCGAGCTAAACTTA